TGTAAAATGAGAGACGGTAATGAGCAAGAATGCTAACCATCAGCTGATTCATAAACTGGTTTGAACAGGAGTTTTTGACTAACTGCCTAAAAATATACGATTTTAAATCGCTTATTAGACGACTTTCAGTCGTCTAAAATGAAGCTATTTCTAATTCAAAATAACGATTTTAAATCGTTTAAAATGTAACTAAAAATCGTTTAATTAACAACTTTTTGTCCTTAATTTCGAATTTGAGTTTATAGACGATTTAAAGATGCAAATTAGGCGACTTTTAGTCGTCTATTATGAAGTTTTTTTCACTTCACAAATAACGATTTAAAATCTTTAAAAACGAAAATACAAATCGTTTATTAAGGGACTTTTTGAGTTTTTAATTAAGAGTGCCTAATTCTTAGCTTTTTCATTTAAAAACGCATTCACCGTTAAAAAAGTTGAAAAGTGAAATTGTTAATTAATCCATGTTTACCACAGATTTATTAATCTGTGGTCTTCCTTTAAAGTCTTAAATTGAAACTGACCTTGAGGATATTTAACCTAATAATCGAGATATTTTTTCAATTCAGCATTCGTAAATAATTGTTTCTAAGTCATAACTTAATTATTATACAGGGTTACCCACAAAGGATGAGACTTGAGAGACGACTGTACAGACTGTATACTGTCTGTTTCATTATATCTATGATTCCCTGCAACTGTAAACGTGTTTCCTTTTTTGTCTAATTATTGAATAAGCCATAAAAAGATTACATTCAAGGAAGAATACTAAATTCAACCTTGGAATTTCAAGAGTTTCAGGTCGTCTTTACAATCTTATTCTTTCTGGGTAACCTTGTATATAAACTACATAGAACTGTTCTCCTCAATTTTCAGGGTTAATTTTACAATTTTCCCACCGTGCAAGAAGTTTTAAATTATTAGAAGGGAAACATTCTTACAGTGATACCAGAAAACTATGAAATAGGAAGTCGACTTTTATACAATTAAGTTATGGCTTTAAATAGTCCAATAATTGCACAGAACATAGCAATTGTGCAGTGTTAACAGACCTATTTCACTTAATTATTGATTTAATAAGTGTCCAGTAAACTTTTTTCGGAAATTCGGAAATTTGTTAGAAATTAATTATCCTCGGTTTTTACAAAAATAAAAGTGGAAGTACAATCTTTGAGTTTCATTTTTCCATTGCTTTCTACAAGCAAGAAATGCGCAACTACTTTGCAGGAAAAAACCGCAAATGAAAATAAACGGATTAAATAAACTAAAAAATAGATAATTAACTCGAACTTACTCCGGCATACCTTAAAAATCAGTCATTGCATGGAGGGTCACTTGAAATAACGCTCACAACATAAAGGCTTTTAATTCAGTTTATTCATTTCAGGGAGAAACAGAGGAAGTGCAGAGCAGAGCAGCTCAAGAACAAAGTATAGAGCAGTTTAGAGCACATTGAAGAGCAGAGCATTGTGGAGAAAAAATAGAAGAGAACTGAGAAACTATGATTTTCTCAAATTTTGTAAGAATATTTTGAAACTTTGTCATCATAAAACCATGTTAATATTTTACAGTGAGCACCAGAAAACTGTGGATTAGGAAGACGATATTCACGCAAAACTTAAATGTATTTGATGATATTTACTGGTAACTTATTATATCACTTATATTAAATGAAATGAGTCTATTTAAACTGCTAAAATGGTGTGTTACATGTTGATTGGAGCTTTACTCATAGCTTGAGTTTAAAAGTCCTCTTTCTATTTTACAGTTTTCAGGTTCTCACACTGTATTTCTAGATTAAGCTCGCAATAAATTTCTATGACTTATGCCAGAATTTGACATTTTTTTTATTCTATTTCCCACTCCTGAGGGAGAATTCAAGGAAACTTGATGGCTGAGATCGAAACTTTTTTCTTGGATACCTTTAATCTTGAATACTTCATCTCGATATCCATTGTATGCAATTTGAAGATCATGATGCTTGATTCGGCCCTTAATTAAAGTTATCCGGGCATTGGTATATTGAAGTGGAATGAAACTAATCTATAGATCTGCATAAGATGGAGATTAATGTTTGAACCCGAGATTCACAATAAAATAGTTCTGACTTCAGATTTTAGTTCTGTAAAGTAATTTTCCTATTTTTCACATCAGCCAAATGTAAGCAATGACGACCTAACTTTGTCATGAATCCAAACTCAAATCTTGAGGTATTGAATTCAAACTCAAATCTTGAGGTATTGAATCCAAACTCAAATCTTGAGGTATTGTATCCAAACTTAAATCTTGATGTATTGAATACAAACTCAAATCATGAGGTATTGAATCCAAACTCAAATCTTGAGATGGTGTTCATATAACTTTGCTATCCTCAGCTTTAAATTTTCTTTCATGAATGTTTTACAAGCCTTCAAATTCTTAATCTAAACTACCATTTTTCGTAAGAATATGATTTTGTGAGAATTATCCTAGGATCTTTATAAATAAACATATTTCAGATTTTAGTTGGTTTTATCCTCAGTCCATCTTCTGGTATTGACCTACCATTCCGTCCTGGTCAACAGGCCTGTATCTGCCCTTCCACACCTTTTGTAGCTCCCATAGGAAGATTACTTTGGGGATCCAAGTGCTGTAGAAGCCTGATAAGCACTTCTACAACCTCAACTACAGCTGGTACGGCTTCTACTACTACTTCTTCTACTACTTCTTCTACTACTTCTTCTACTACTACTTCTTCTACTACTTCTTCTACTTCTTCTACTACTTCTACTACTTTTACTACTGCTGTTACAGCTTCTACTACTTCTTCTACTGCTCCTCCATCTGGTAAAAATATTTTAGAAAATGTTTCACGCAAATTATAGTGCTTTAATTTCTTTAATCGAACTTGATTTTTTGATTTCCTGACAAAGTGATGCGTTTGTAGAAACGGGCATCATGTCCAGGTGGGTTTCAGTTCTAAACTGGTGATGAGACCCCCCTGAATCTGGAAAGTAAAAAGTGAAGCCCCTTTAAATCAAGATTTTACTGAACAAACAATTTCATTAAATGAACAATTTCCCTGAACAAACAATTTTATTGCATGAACAATTTCACTAAACAAATTAACTTATAGAACTAACAATTTTATTGACAAACAATTTTACAGAACAAAGAGTTTTATAAAACATACAAATTTACTGAAGAAAATACTTATAGGAAAATTAACAATGACACAACTATTAATTTATGAAATTCTGCTGAACAATTAAAATAATGAAAGGACTAATTGGAAATAACCAAATTTGCCCATCTCTCAAACTATACATTTGGGACTGTATCTTGACTGTTGATGTGCAATTTTTCATTTTTTCTAAGATCTTTAAAAATCAGGGGAGGGGGGGGTTTATAAATATAAACCCCTGAAAACATTTAACTTAAAAGTACATTCGGGTTGTCCTAAACAAAAACTTTCCAATCTGTTTTAAAATACTTTTATCTAGATTGCTCTTGTTCTGGAAGCACTGCTGTTCTACTTGGAGGAGGGAAAACAGAAACCTATCCTTGTAGTTCACAAACTATAGATGATATAGAAAACTTAATTTATCCAGGAGCTTCTGTTTTAAATAATCAGATTTATGTTTGTGGTGGGTATGAAAATGTCAGTGTAGGCATAGGCAGTAATAAATGCTTTAGAAATGAAGGTGGGATGTGGGTAAATGCTACAAACATGAATGTTGGAAGATGGTTGTTTTCAATGAACAATGTGGGCTCACAAATTTTGGTCACGGGGGGACAATCAAATATTTCATCTCTGAGTACTTTAAACAACCTTGAATTATTTGATGGTGAAATATGGCAAGAGCTCCCATTTAATTTATCCTATGCTTTCTCTTATCATTGTGCTGTTACTATCAGTGAAACAGAAATTGTTATAATTGCCGGTTTTATTAATTTAGGTCAGGTTGTAATTGAAAAGTATGATATATTTAATGGTCTTGTTCAAACTAACTTTTCAAGCTTTCCGGACTCAACATATATATATGGACATGCCTGTACTTTATTTCAAGGGGAGATTATTGTTGCTGGTGGATATCCAAGTTTAAAAAAGGTGTATGCTTTAGATCTTACAACATTAGCCTGGAGATCATTACCTGATTTAAACTATGATCACTATCAGCATACAATGGAAGTTGTAAATGGACAATTAATTGTGTTTGGGGGAGTACTTTCAACTGATTCTACGGAATTAGATTATTTGGAAAGGTATGATGGCAACACCTGGATTGCGGAAAATTTGAACTATACTCATGCTTACCATGCTTCTGTTGTTGTCCCTTGCCAATAAAACCTGTCAGGTAGGGTTTCCACCAAATGGCTATATTTATTTGCAAGAACGACTATAACAAAATTGCGGAATTGCTCAAAACTAAAGTTGCGGAATAGGGCAATATTGCGCGAAATGACTTTTGCCAATGATTGCGCAAATTCCGGGTTTTTGCGTAAAACGAAAGCAAAATTTAGCTTTTCGTTCTGCAAAAATTGCGTAAAAATTTTGTGAAGGGAAACCCTACTGTCAGGGATATATATAATTTCCGTTTGTGTTAAAAGTTACATTTTCATTTAGATTTTATATTATCTGTCAAAGTTTAAATTTGAAAACTTAGATAATTAAAACTTCTTATTTTGTTATTTTGTATGCCTGTATTTTTTTGTATTAATTAAAAGTACAGTTTTACTTGTGGAGAATTTTACTTTAATTGTAGAATTTTTTTAACAGTTTGAATAAAGCAATTATTAGATACAAAGGCTTTTAGGGTGCTTCGCGCCCATCTTTTTTTTCAACTTTTGATTGTGGCTTTATCTAGGGCTGGGCGCATCTGTTATCTGTTATCTGTTAGCATCTTCTCTTTGTACTGTATAAAAATTAAAATTAAAATTTGCGGATTTCATAATATTTTTTAAACGCATTTTCAAAATTTTACAAAATTAAATAATTTAAGATAAAAACATTTTAAGATTACAGCGCATATTTAAAGTATGATTGGCCACTAACCTTCCATTGGGCCACATGAGTTCCCACACAAAATTTGGGCATGGTCGTTTCGGCCGTTTCGATGTTTATGGATACAAACAAACAGACAGACAAGCTTTTATATATAGATATATAAACTGATATGATAAAAATTGGAATGCTAATAAAACTATTGCTGGCCGATTAGAGAGTTGTCACAAAAAGGAAAAATTCTATAAATAGTTTTGGCCCAGGAGGTCGTTTTATGCTGAGCATTGGACGATTTTTGAGATTCATTTCAAAAGTCAAACCCCAGTGCCCAATCGGCCAAATATAAACGGCGGGGGTTATAATTTCTGCCAAATGTTAATAATTTGTTTTTAAATTCCTTAAAAGCTGAAACATTTTGAGATAAAATATCTCTGAACAACTGCACATGATGACACCACAAAAGCCTGATGGGCATGGGCAACCATGGGTATGGTACATATGATAGTTTAAATATAAAATCTAAACAGATAAATAAAACATACGGATTTATTACCTATATTACAAACTCTTTTAAGGTGATCAAAAGAGAAGGTTTAAAGGAATTGAGTTTTTGTCACAAACTCGAAGACCTCAGATATTTCAAACAATGATAAAAAATGATAGTTTGAAATATCTAAGGCTTACATCATCAGGTTGCAAAGATATAGCAGTAGTAAAATCAGAATTTGTGGCAAAAACTCAGTTCCTTAGCATTAAAAAATGCTCCGTTAAAACACTTTTTTGTCTTGAAAGATTTTTCACAACTTTTTTTATTCTCAAATTCCTTTCATAGACTCAAGAGCATCCAGGTATTAACTTCAAGAGCATCCAGGTATTAACTTCAAGAGCATCCAGGTATTAACTTCAAGAGCATCCAGGTATTAACTTCAAGAGCATCCAGGTATTAACTTCAAGAGCATCCAGGTATTAACTTCAAGAGCATCCAGGTATTAACTTCAAGAGCATCCAGGTATTAACTTCAAGAGCATCCAGGTATTAACTTCAAGAGCATCCAGGTATTAACTTCAAGAGCATCCAGGTATTAACTTCAAGAGCATCCAGGTATTAACTTCAAGNTAGTACACTGCAGGTAGTCTAGCCTGGGCGGTACAAATTAATACATATATATAGTACACTGCAGGTAGTCTAGCCTGGTCGGTACAAGACCTTTGTCTCTCGGTGTAATTTTAAATTGACTCCATGCAAAATAGTGAATGCCCTATTTACAACGGTGCCCAAATTAAACTTCTCACTGATATTGAAAGTACAATTTCTGTAATGGTGTTCAAATAGCTGGACAACTGGATTGTACAATGGTGTTCAAATAGCTGGACAACTGGATTGTACAATGGTGTTCAAATAGCTGGACAACTGGATTGTACAATAGTTTGAAAAGTAAACTTGACCCAGCTGAGGATACATTTATTCATCTAAAATCATGAATTTCCAACGTGATTCACAAAACTTAAGATGAAAGCATTGTATGGTTGTTGAACTGAGAATATGTAGCATTGTTGAGAAATTTAAAGGAATCACCCATGTGACATTTTTAAAGGGCATTTATTCAGTGAGAACGGAAATTCAATCTTTAAATTGTTTTAGATTGTTCATTTATGAGGAATGATTTTGAGAATCGGTTTACAAAACTTATTCAATAACGACAACGAACAATGTTGTAAAAATTCTACAGCAAAATAATAAGTTATTCAGGAACAGGTTGAGAATATAGAAATTGACTATTATCATCGAAAAAAAAGTAATCTTTTTCAGTTCATGGTTTCTGTAATAAAGAAATTTGAAGAATTTAAGGATATCTGCGAACAAATTCATCAATAAAAAGAAATTCAATAAAATGATGAAAAAGAAATAACTGATTCTAACATTGATATATTGAGAAAATTTCAATGAGAAATTACACCTAATTAGTTTTTTTTACATTTTTTGTCGTCGTTATTTAATAATTTAAAAAAATCGATTCTCCCAAGGTGACCACTAAATGGATGATTTTGAACGTCGACCTAGCGCTCAAACTCAATGATTATACATCATAAAAACGTTTTAAATGTCTTAATTGAATCCTAAAAAATAAGGCATTCTCAGTTCAACTACCATGCATTGCCAGTCACTCCCTTTAATTTACTATAGTTAATCATCACACCACCCTTTTACAAAGGCGCTACGACATCTGCTCTATTTCCATTTGCTCTATTAACCCCTTGCTCTATAGCCCATAGATCATAACTTTTGCTCTATATGCCATCTGCTATACATACGGCATGTGCTTTATGAAATTATGAGCTTTGCCTTACAGATTTATAGAGACCGAAATTATTGTAAAACTGGAAAACTGTAGATTTTATAATTTACAGATGTCGCAACACCAGATATCTTTAAATAAAAGTTTATTTTTGTAAAATCCTTGGCAAGGAAAATGAAGACGAGTCCACTGTATTCTGGGGATCACTTCTGCATTTCAGAAGAAACAAATCGCAATCTTAAACCATCCTTTTCTCATCAGTATCGGAGGAGACTTTTTTATGATTGAGGTATCCCGGAAATCGAGCTGTATCCGGATACCAAGTTGTATCCGGAAACCGAGCTGTATCCGGATGTAGCGTGTTTGCATTTATCGTTAATGTCTGGGCAGCAAGTCCGTCTTTTCGTTTACCCGTTCTCAACCTTTTTGGAGCTGTCGGGGGCCGACTTTGAACAGGTTTATGTACAGGTTCAAGTACATGTGCATGTACAGGTTCATGTACATGTGCATGTACAGGTTCATGTACAGGTTTATGTACAGGTTCATGTACAGGTTCATGTGCAGGTTCATTCACAATTAATTTGTGTGGAGAAGCGTTCAAACTTTTTTCACTTTTCACAATTTGAATCTCTGGATTTGAACAGTTATGATCTTCTAGTATAGCATTTTCTTTATGATAAGGGGCCTAAACATAAGAAGCATTACTTTTAGATCATTCATATCTCTTTTAGATCATTCATATCTCTTGTAGATCATTCATATCTCTTTTAGATCATTCATATATCTTTTAGATCATTCATATCTCTTTTAGATCATTCATATCTCTTTTCATTTTTGTAGAAATTGTTATTACAGTTTTGTGGGCATATTGCTCATTTTCATCCGTTCAGATAAAACATTAGATTTTGCAAGGGGGGAGGGGGGTATGAAAGGTTTGATAAGTCAGAATTAGAGAATTTTAGGATTGTAAAGTTACAAGCTGTTTGAGGTTCCAAAATCAAATCGCGGAAAATTGGAGAGCTTGAAAATAGTATTTTTTTAAACTAGGTTCTAAGAATATTTTTGTACAAATTATGATAAGAACCTGATTACAAACGATCGTTTTGAAAAACGATCGTTTTAAAAACGAAAATTTTTTAAAAAACGAACTTTTTAAAAAACGATCGTTTTTAAAAACGATCGTTTCGTTTTCGACGAAACGATCGTTTTTCTGAAAAATGAAAACGTTAACATCCCTAGTTGTATGATAAGATACTTTGGATGCGCTCTAATGTAGGTAAAGACGACCTCTAAAGCAATGGACGCTCTAAATCCTCATATGACGGCACTGTTTATTTTAAAAAATAATAAATTTTGCGGCTCACTAAATCTAATTTAATTAAAAAATTTAAAACTTGAATTAGAATTTCATTTTTCAGCTTCAATGTTCCATTTCAAATAAAGACCACATTTACCTACACTGAAGCGCATCCAGAGTATTTAACCTTATATTCACAACCTAGATGGAGACCGGTTTATATTCACAACCTAGATGGAGACAGGTTTATATTCACAACCTAGATGGAGACAGGTTTATATTCACAACCTAGATGGAGACCGGTTTATATTCACAACCTAGATGGAGACCGGTTTATATTCACAACCTAGATGGAGACCGGTTTATATTCACAACCTAGATGGAGACAGGTTTATATCAAATCCTCTGCACATGGAGAGAATTTAATGAATTATTGGAGAGATGTCCCTGTCGCTGAACAATTTGAAGAGCGTTGATTCAGGATCGAATTTTTGTCTTCATGAACATTTCTATCATTCTTAATCTGCTTTAACTTCATATTAAGTTACATTGCTTTCTAAATATTCAGTTTTATTATCTCCTATACCTGTCATTAAATAGTTTTATTATCTACTATACCTGTCATTAAATAGTTTTATTATCTACTATACCTGTCATTAAATAGTTTTATTATCTACTATACCTGTCATTAAATAGTTTTATTATCTACTATACCTGTCATTAAATAGTTTTATTATCTACTATACCTGTCATTAAATAGTTTTATTATCTACTATACCTGTCATTAAATAGTTTTATTATCTACTATACCTGTCATTAAATAGTTTTATTATCTACTATACCTGTCATTAAATAGTTTTATTATCTACTATACCTGTCATTAAATAGTTTTATTATCTACTATACCTGTCATTAAATAGTTTTATTATCTACTATACCTGTCATTAAATAGTTTTATTATCTACTATACCTGTCATTAAATAGTTTTATTATCTACTATACCTGTCATTAAATAGTTTTATTATCTACTATACCTGTCATTAAATAGTTTTATTATCTACTATACCTGTCATTAAATAGTTTTATTATCTACTATACCTGTCATTAAATAGTTTTATTATCTACTATACCTGTCATTAAATAGTTTTATTATCTACTATACCTGTCATTAAATTCTACTTTTCGATTATTCACCAGAAGGGATAAACTCTCACTTTTTGATCTAAAAAGGGGAAATTTTTTTTTTAATTTCAAATTTTTGTTTTTTAAACGTTTACCTAAGCATCCCTGATCTACTTGTTGTAAGCCTCGCCTGAAATAATATTTCAAATTAATTCTTCGAAAATTTTCCAAAATATCTTTGTGGTGATTGCTTTTTTACCCAGAGCTGGGAACTTTTGAATGGTGGATATCGGGATTAAGGCTTAATCCACTCTTTTTCTTAATCTCCAGAGCTGAAAACTTTAGAATGGTGGATATCGGGATTAATGCTTGATCCTCTCTTTTTGTTAATCTCAAGATTAACATAATCTTGCAAGATTATATTAAAAGTGTATGAAAAACGATAAAATTCAAATTAATATTTAGTCATCTGAGAAACTGTAGCAGCCAGTCAGAGAAAAGCGGGCAACCAATGAGAGAACAGAAATATTCTCATTGGAGAAAACAATTAACGGATATCCAAGGAGAGAGAAAAAGAGTGGATTAGGACAAAAATGAAAAGTTTCCACAGTGAATATTCGGATTAAGAAATCAGGATTAAAGTTTATCCTAAAGTTCCCAGCTCAGTTTAGAATACAGAGTATCGCATTGAAAACAATCATTATTGAAAGTAAGAAAAAATATGACATTTATTTATTTTATTGTGATAATAATTTTTTGTGCGTTTATATCCTTTTGAAAAAGAATAAAAAAAAGTTTTTGCGGATTTATTTCATGTTTTGCAAATGAAAATAACCAATTTCAAATTTTGTTTTTGGAATACAGTGAGAACCAAAAAACTTTGTAATAGGAAGACGACTTTTAGACGCAAGTTGTTACTAGCTTAAAATTGTCCAATATGAGCATGGTACACAGCAATTGTGCAGTGTAAACAGATCCATTTCACTTAACTAGTGATTTAATCAGTGTCTAGTAGAACCATGAACATCAATTCCATCTACCACTGAAGTATTGCTAGAAGTCGTAACCCTATTGGTTTGATTGGAAATATCATTATTAGAATCATATTTTCTAGATAAGCAAATTAAATTGATAGTACCTTCCCACTTGTAAACAAGGCATAAGTTGGGTTGTAAATAGCTTGGATTTAATATAGGGTACGGATGTCATCATTGAGTTAAATTTTGAGAAAAGTATCCACCCCCAAAGTAGGAGGTTTGAACGTCGAATTTTCGCTCATACTCAGGATTTACAGATCTTCAAAAAGTTTAATATGTCTCAAATGAATCCGAAAGAAGTTTACCACAACACTGCACACTCAGTTCAACTACCTTACATAGCCGGTCTGTCCCATTAAAGAACTTTTGTCTAATAACTGTGTTTCTAGCAAAACTATCTACAGCGTATTTGGTATCTAGTAATACCTCTTGAAAGTAGGCAGAATTTAACTTCTGTAACTCGTGTTGTCTCTTTTGCTGAATACAAAATTATTTAAATTCTTTTCGTCAAATATTTTCATAATAATCCCCTGTTCACAATTTTGCTACCATATTGATTTTTTTCTAAATTGGAAAAATACTGTCGTTTCACCGAAAAACGGAGATATTTCGATCAGACTAATGTTTCTAAATGGAATTGTAGACCATTGATATTTTTAGGCTTGATTTCTGTTGGATCAAATGGTAAAATTTTGAATTATACAGGTTTAAACCATCAGGCTGCGAGTAAACATGAATAGAAATAGATACTTTAAGTCAATATTACTGCTAATTTAATCCCTGTTTTCATAAGTTACACTGCGCATATCAATATTTTTGTAAGTTATTTTTTTAGTTTTTTTTTGTCCTTTTTTCCGGGAACGTACAGGGTGTCCCACAAAACATGACAGTAAACTTTGAATTTATATATGACATTTAGTCGTCAACCTTCTTAGAAATGTATGATTCTTGAAACAATAACCACAAAATTCTCCTAGTCCTGGAATCTTCCAAAACATGGTCTGCGTTTTTTTGTGTTGTCAACGCACATAAAAGGCAGACTACATTTTGAAAATGCCAAGACTAGGGGTATTTGGTAATTATTAACTCTAGAATTTTACGTCTAAAATAAGGTTTACGAATAAATGCCGCAAATTATTTCAAGGATCAAAGACGACCTTTAATTCGTCTTGCTACTGTTATGTTTCGTGGGACACCCTGTCTGTTTTCATACATTTAACAAGAGATCAAAATATGACTTAAATTATGTAATGTACTGTACTGTACCGTACTGTACTGTACTGTACCGNACATTTTCCTGGTTCCTACGATCGCGATGGTAGGCAATTATATCAAAATAATCGAGCCGACTTTGTTATTTAAATTTTAATTGTTAACAAGCTTATTTCGAATTTAAAGTAGAAAACGACAATAAAGCTATACTGAAGTAGAAGACGACAATAAAGCTATACTGAAGTAGAAGACGACAATAAAGCTATACTGAAGTAGAAGACGACAGTAAAGCTATACTAAAGTAGAAGACGACAATAAAGCTATACTGAAGTTGAAGACGACAATAAAGCTATACTGAAGTAGAAAACGACAATAAAGCTATATTGAAGTAGAAGACGACAATAAAGCTATACTGAAGTAGAAGACGACAGTAAAACTATACTGAAATAGAAGACTAAAATAAAACCATACTGAAGTTGAAGACGACAATAAAGCTATACCGAAGTAGAAGACGACAGTAAAGCTATACTGAAGTTGAAGACGACAATAAAGCTATACTGAAGTTTAAGACCACAGTCGACATAAAGCTATGCTGAAGCTGAATACGACAATAAAGCTATACTGAAGTAGAAAACGACAATAAAGCTATACTGAAGTAGAAGACGACAGTAAAACTATACTGAAATAGAAGACTAAAATAAAACTATACTGAAGTTGAAGACGACAATAAAACTATACTGAAGTTGAAGACGACAATAAAACTATACTGAAGTTGAAGACGACAGTAAAGCTATACTGAAGTAGAAGACGACAATAGAGCTACACTGAAGTAGAAGAGACGACAATAAAGCTATACTGAAGTAGAAGACGACAGTAAAGCTACACTGAAGTAGAATACGACAATAAGGCTGTACTGAAGTAGAAGACGACAATAAAGCTATACTGAAGTAGAAGACGACAACAAAGTTATACTGAAGTAGAAGACGACAATAAAGTAAGANCTGGCTCTAAAATAAACCGGATTAACCCAATCATGTGGTTTTCCTAAGACTGGCTCTAAAATAAACCGGATTAACCCAATCATGTGGTTTTCCTAAGACTGGCTCTAAAATAAACCGGATTAACCCAATCATGTGGTTTTCCTAAGACTGGCTCTAAAATAAACCGGATTAACCCAATCATGTGGTTTTCCTAAGACTGGCTCTAAAATAAACCGGATTAACCCAATCATGTGGTTTTCCTAAGACTGGCTCTAAAATAAACCGGATTAACCCAATCATGTGGTTTTCCTAAGACTGGCTCTAAAATAAACCGGATTAACCCAATCATGTGGTTTTCCTAAGACTGGCTCTAAAATAAACCGGATTAACCCAATCATGTGGTTTTCCTAAGACTGGCTCTAAAATAAACCGGATTAACCCAATCATGTGGTTTTCCTAAGACTGGCTCTAAAATAAACCGGATTAACCCAATCATGTGGTTTTCCTAAGACTGGCTCTAAAATAAACCGGATTAACCCAATCATGTGGTTTTCCTAAGACTGGCTCTAAAATAAACCGGATTAACCCAATCATGTGGTTTTCCTAAGACTGGCTCTAAAATAAACCGGATTAACCCAATCATGTGGTTTTCCTAAGACTGGCTCTAAAATAAACCGGATTAACCCAATCATGTGGTTTTCCTAAGACTGGCTCTAAAATAAACCGGATTAACCCAATCATGTGGTTTTCCTAAGACTGGCTCTAAAATAAACCGGATTAACCCAATCATGTGGTTTTCCTAAGACTGGCTCTAAAATAAACCGGATTAACCCAATCATGTGGTTTTCCTAAGACTGGCTCTAAAATAAACCGGATTAACCCAATCATGTGGTTTTCCTAAGACTGGCTCTAAAATAAACCGGATTAACCCAATCATGTGGTTTTCCTAAGACTGGCTCTAAAATAAACCGGATTAACCCAATCATGTGGTTTTCCTAAGACTGGCTCTAAAATAAACCGGATTAACCCAATCATGTGGTTTTCCTAAGACTGGCTCTAAAATAAACCGGATTAACCCAATCATGTGGTTTTCCTAAGACTGGCTCTAAAATAAACCGGATTAACCCAATCATGTGGTTTTCCTAAGACTGGCTCTAAAATAAACCGGATTAACCCAATCATGTGGTTTCCCTAAGACTGGCTCTAAAATAAACCGGATTAACCCAATCATGTGGTCGACGAAGAAATTATTTGAAATACTAGCTGAAGTGATCGGCGTTGCCCGTGGCAATAATATAAAATTTCGAATTTTGAAAACATTTTTATTTAAAAAAATCCTACTTTTGAAAAAGAAAATTCTAATATTTTTCGCCTTTGTTACCCCCAGGATACCCATGGGTTTCCTCAAAAAATGTTATTTGAAAATAATTAAAAAAGAATAATTTCCTGATTTTGATAAAAATTATGGTGTTAAAAACTGCTAGAAGGCAGAATGGTAAAAGGTATATAAATATCAGATACATCCAGTTTATGTAGATCTAAACAAATAATAAACAGTAAATGTAGATTTAAGCAAATAGTAAAGAGTTAATGTAGATCTAAACAAGTAATAAACAGTTTATGTAGATCCAAACAAATAATAAACAGTAAATGTAGATTTAAGCAAATAATAAAGAGT